GTCGAAACGTTGTACATTTGCTGTTATGTTAAACTTATATTAAAGTTTTTCTTCATTACCCATTTAAGCCGTCTCCAGCCATTATTAGTCTCAAAGTGGGTTCCTCGTCATCGAATTTGAATAACAATAACTTCGGAAAAAAAAATAACAAAGAAACAAAAAACAACAACAAAAATCAGCCTCAGTTTGTGCTAAATTTTACAGGAAGGCCCGTTTATCATAAATTGATTTTTTCTGCCAGCAATTATATTTGAATTCGTTTCAAAAGTGGAGATTCACTTTAAATTCTGGAGAGTATCTAATTTTCTGTACTTTTATGCAAGTTTGTTATTGTATTTATAATCAATGCATCATGCGAGACCAAACAGGCGATTATTGCCAGTAGTTTAAAATGAGTTTGTTAATGCGTAAATGTAACCACGAATCTCTCTCGGGGGACTATTTTCATAACCGTTTTCTCTTTCTCGTGCTCCTTCCTCACTCGATGAAATCTTACAAATCCTATTAACGAACATTATAACAAACTAGAGAATATTTGAATTCGAAACCACGTTTGTTTATCTGTAGCGAGAGCTGATTCGGTGTTATTTTTTTTAATTTTTAGACACATTCTGACGTAAAACTTTACGCGATCTTTGGAATATTTTACGTAAAATAATGGCGCATCTTGATTTTAAATATACTTTCGAGTTCCTGCGCGAAACTTTTTTAGTTAAGTAACCATGACCAGTGGCAAATACAGCAAAGTAAATATTTATATGATAGAACTATATATTTGAGAAGTGAAACGAGTGGAAAACGTCTATTTACTTTGTACGCAAATATTCTGCCCGACATTTTATTCTGTCGCAATAAATTATTTCGAATGTGATGAAATCTAAAAGTCTATACAGCACTAATGCTCATTAGCAATAACTGACACTAATTAACTATACTTTAGAAATCATTATTGTCCATCCCTGATATTTATAATTCATTAATCATTACTGTCCATCTCTGATATTTATTATTAATAAATCATTATTGTCCATTTCTGATATTTATAATTCATTAATCATTACTGTCCGTCTCTAATATTTATTATTAATAAATCATTACTGTCCTTCTCTGATATTTATTATTAATAAATCATTACTGTCCTTCTCTGATATTTATTATTAATAAATCATTATTGTCCATCTCTGATATTTATAATTCATTAATCGTTATTGTCCATCTATGATATTTATTATTAATAAATCATTATTGTCCATACCTGATATTTATTATTAATAAATCATTATTGCCCATACCTGATATTTATTATTGATAAATCATTATTGTCCATCTCTGACATTTATAATTCATAAATCTTGATTTTACTTCTCTGATATTTATTATTCATAAATAATTATTGTCCCGGCATCTTTGATATTTATAATTGATAAATTATTACTGTCCATCTCTGATATTTACAGTTGTTAAATTATTATTGTTCATCTCTGATATTTACAGTTGATAACTTATTATTGTCTACTGATGATATTTGTAGCTGAGAAATCATTTTGTCAGTTCACAAAGTGTCTCTTGATGAGAAACACATAAGAAACAATAGTAGATTATTTTAACTGTTAGAAATATTTGTACACTGTGAATATTTTCACTCCACTGATCATGGAAATAAACCAGAATTAAACCAATAACGATGTCATTTAAAAAAATAAAAAAGAACGCGTCACCTATGAAATTGACAGGGAAAACAACCTCTAGCGACACCGAATATTCTAAAGATTTATATTTATTTCCCTTCTATGCGCTCCAAAGTTGATTGCATCATTACATAAAGGAAACAGGTCTTAACGACGCATTTCATTTTGCTCTCGGGTTCGTACAAAAGTAATTTTGAAAAACTACTTAACTTACATAGGAAGACACATTTCAATCTTTAGAAAAGCTCCCCTGTTGCCTGATGCTGAGTCGCAGCTATCAGGTTGGTTCGATTTTCCCTGCGGCACAGAAGAACGTTTGACAGAACCGAATATTTGAGATGGATGTTGTTGTTTTTTTCGCTCTTCCTTTCCGCATGCATCAACAACAACAAAAAGATACATAAGAAAGAATGAGTACATCAAAAGTCCTAATTATAGTTATAATACAAAATTCTGACTCACCTAAGTATTCTTTGAAGCTCATATCTTCGTTTCCAAAATGGCGTAAAAAGAAAATACACACTTAAAACCACTGTCACATAGCAGTAGAAAGCTTTTTAGGAGGAAAAAATGATTATCATGACGAAATAGTTTTATTCTGTTGTTAGTGGGACTCGTTAAAAAGTAATTCCGTGGCTCTACTATAGTCGCTTTCAATTTTGGTTTATGTCTATTTATAAGCTTTATTTTACCCTTAACTCATTTACATCTTCGCCTCGAGCTATAATCTTGAAACCTACTTTCGTCGGTGGTTCGTCAAAGTTTCAAGGATGCTAGAAAACTAAAAACATAGTAAAGTTTTACTAGGTTTAAATTATTTAAGAAATATGTCAAACAGGAAGAGTTGTATTAAACTTTCTTCAATTTTAAACTGTAATTGGTGGTTTTTAAAATGTCAAAAAATAACATCCATTAAACGATTTAAATGAGTTTCAAAAATTAATTACTTAAATTTGTTTGTTTGAATTTCGCGCAAAGCTACACAAGGGCTATCTGCGCTAGCCGTCCCTAATTTAGCAGTGAAAGACTGGAGGGAAGGCAGCTAGTCATCATCACCTACCGCCATCTCTTGGGCTACTCTTTTCGCAACGAATAGTGGGATTGACCGTCACATTATAACGTCCCCACGGCTGAGAGGGCGAGCATATTTGGTGGGACGGGGGATTCGAACCCGCGATCCTCATATTACGAGTCAAGCGCCCTAACCACCTAGTCATTACTTAGAATTTTGTCACTGTTGGATTTCAATTAACGTACAAAACGAGAAAAATTGAAGAAATTAAAGATGAGACAACTAATCAAACTTATTCAGTTAAAGAAAACCAAAGATAGGTTTTTAAAATGCTGAGAATGAATTTATTACTAATTTATCAACTCGTACATCAAGCGAAAGTGAAAAAAAAAAGAGTACTAACAAAACGAACATATTTGAAAAGTTTTTTGATGTACAAAACTTGAAGATAGCTGAGTTCTTGCACATATCTTACAATATAACGTTGATAAACGGAAACATTGGCACATGTAGATATGTAGATCTTGAAAGTCGAGTTGTTCAAAATTTGAAAATAGCGTTGATAACTGGGCCAATTGTTGGTTGAGATGTTGCAAAAGAAATATCTGCTGAAGCTTTTCGCCAGACGCTAATCGTAGCAGAACCGCCTGGAAATTGATCTATAGGAAATAGATATATATTCCAAACACCTATAAATATTCAGGTATTAATTATAGTATTTTGGCACTTGTGTATAAAGTTAAAATCATAAATAATATTCAACGTTAAACTGGTACAGAATTAAAAAAAACAAAAAAAACATTTTATTTAGGCCTATCTATGGCCTTCAAAAAGTTGACGTCGAAACAT